GGCATGCACAGGAACGGTTACAATAGCGGCGATGGGTCAAGGATTCTACTCTGCTCGGTTCAGCACCGAGCATGATTATGAAAGAGCTCTGAATGGGGGCCGTGGATGATTGAGGACCACTACGTTCTCACAAGGATGTGGAGGCGCGAGTTTGAGCCGGGGGAGGAGGAACTGACACACACATTGGTATGGGCACGGTTGCCTAAGTTACCAATGGATTATTATGATGAGGAACTTTTGAGGAGTATAGGAAACTCGCTGGGAAGGTTTATCAAGATGGATGAGGCCACAAGGCTAGCGATCAGAGGGCACTTCGCTAGAATATGTGTCGAGGTCAACTTGGCGAAACCCTTGATATGCAAATACCGCCTGGAAAGGAGAACACGCCGAGTTGAATATGAGGGCTTACACAAGATTTGCTTTGAATGTGGGCGCTATGGGCATGAGAAAGAAGTGTGCCCATCGAAAATGATAGATGCACCCACGGAAGAAGATTTCCATAGAGTGCATGTTCCAACCAATAAGCTTACCATCGAGCAAGAAAGCCCGGAGATATATGAGAGTTACGGGCCATGGATGATAGCGACTAGAAACCGAAGGCGGCAACCGCCTAACCGCCCTGTCAGCCAAGCAGCACAGGTGGAGAAAACAACGCCGGTGGCGAAATCCGGATCGAGGTTTGCAGCCCTGGATGACCTGAATGATGAGATGAGGGAAGATGTGAGGGTTCTTGAGAAGGCTGCAGGAGAAGTGGAGGTTGAAGCAGCGGTAGCTGCGTCGTCGAGGGTGGTTGTGGGGGAAGAGGTGGAGGCTACTGATATAATTAAGAACTCGGGTCACCGGGAGGAGCCGGCAAAAGCCAAAGTACGGGGAACGAAACAAACGAAGGAAGGAGTTGGCCACAAACAACCATCCCTGGCGAGCACTAGGGGGGCGAAGCCAACGAACCAGTCCCAAGCTAGGAAGGGACAGGATGTGGGGGAGACTAGGTTGGGGAAAGGAGGCAATGCTTCATCTCAACAGCAGGGAATCACAAAGACAACGGTCGAGAGGCAGCTGAAGCCGCCGGAGAACAAGAGGGCTTCTCCGATCCCGCCTCAAAAAAGCATGAGACAGGCTCCCCAAGGGTCGGTCAAAACCGCTATGGCGATCGGGAACTCATCTCCATCAAGTGGGAAGCCGGTAGCTCGCAGCCTCGACCTGAACATGGCAGTGAACACATCACCAGGAGCACAGGCTCCGAGGATAGAGAAACCCATTCCGGAGACAGGGACCCATACCTTGTCTGCGATGGATGTGGAAAAGGCTTGAGCTCCTCTCTCAGGGAAGTCTCTTTGTCATTATCTTTGTTTAATTTGTGTGTCTTTTGCTGTTTTCCTTTTTAATCTCAGTGTAATGGTTAAAATTTTTGCTTGGAACTGTCGTGGGCCAGCTGACCCCGACTTCTTGTTACATTTTCACGAGTTCAAGAGAATTCACCGGCCTAATATTGTGTTCATCTTTGAACCCAGGATCAGTGGCAGGAACGCGGATACTGTGATTCGAAAAATGGGATATGATATGAATACCCGGGTAGAGGCCAGAGGTTTTGCAGGGGGGATCTGGGCCCTCTGGAATCCCAGCGAGACTGTAGTGAGTGTGGAGGATACTATGGACCAAATGATTCTGCTTCGGTTCAGGATGGGGACAGGGGAGGAGGGTTTAATTGCAGGGGTCTATGGTTCTCCGCAGTTGAGCCAACGTCGGGATTTATGGGCTTACATCCGGCGAGTTGTAGGCAGCACAAGCAAACCAATTCTCCTCACTGGGAACTTTAATGCGCTGCTAAACAGGGGTGAGAAGCAGGGTGGGGGTGGGTTCAACTTCGCTGCCAGCCGAGAGTTCAGGGCGGTGATGGAAGACAGTGGACTTGTTGACCTCCCTTTCATGGGCCCACAGTTCACTTGGAGCGGTGCTAGAGGATTAAAAGAGCGACTGGATAGGGCGGTGAGCTGTACGCGATGGCTGCAGCAATTTCCGGATACATTAATCTCCCATTTGCCTAGAGTTAAGTCAGATCACCGGCCTATTATTACGTCGACCGAACGCCCATGCATGCAGAAGAAGCTTCAAAAACCCTTCCGCTTCCTTGCTCCCTAGCTCCTTCATCAAGATTTTGACCGTGTTCTTCAGCAGGGTTGGGGTAAAGGAACATAATACGAGGATAGACTGCAACACGTAGACCTCAGCGACTGGAATAAGAAAGTCTTTGGGAATATTTTTGCGCGGAAGAGAAGCTCCTTCGCCGCCTGGGAGAGCTGGAAAGCCGAAATGAGCTAAATCCCACCCAGGCAAACTTGACAGAGGAAGAGAGAATCAGAGAGGAGCTGCAAGCAGTGCTCAAGCAGGAGGAAATCCTGTGGTACCAAAAATCTCGAGCTTAGTGGTTCACCAAGGGAGATAGCAACACGAGGTATTTCCACCTTTCAACCCTCAAACGAAGAAGTTTCAACAGGATCAGGAAGCTGAGGAATAGAGCGGGTGATTGGGTGGAGGATACCTTAGCATTGCAGAACATGGTTCGGGACTTCTTCATGGGGCTGTACCAGGAGGACCCAAACTTGGCTGACCTGATTCCGGCTAAGTTCCCTCTGATAGAGGACTCCATGGCGGGGTTGGCCCTGGATATAACACCGCAGAAGGTTCTTGAAGCGCTGAAGGCGATGGGACCCCATAAAGCACCCGGAAAGGACGGATTCCATCCTATGTTTTTTCAACGGTGCTGGAGCACGGTCGGAGAAGCTCTTACACAGTTCATCATTGGCTGTTTCAGAAACCTCGGTCTGATCGCTGCGGTTAATGAGACCTTGATCACTCTTGTTTCGAAAAAGCTCAACCCCTCCTCTGTTGCACAGTTCAGACCAATCAGCCTTTGTAATGTCTCCTATAAAGTGTTTACTAAATGTCTGGCAAACAGGCTCAAGTCGTGGATGCCAAAGTTAGTGGACAAGACGCAGACGAGCTTCGTCCCGGGGAGGAGCATTCAGAGTAACATCATCATCTTGCAGGAGGTGGTGCACACGATGCAAACGCGGAAAGCAAAGAGGGGGGATATGATCCTGAAGATAGACTTGGCAAAAGCGTATGACAGGATGGATTGGAGCTTCATTGCCAGTACCCTAGTGGCGGCGGGACTACCGGACACGTTTACTCAAGCTGTAATGGCCTCCATTACCTCGACTTCTTTTGAGGTGCTATGGGATGGAGCGTGTACAGAGTCCTTCTTACCTTCTAGAGGCTTACGACAGGGTTGTCCGCTATCGCCATATATTTTCACTCTGTGCATTGAACGTTTATCTCATATGATATTGAACCTGGCAGCAGAGAAGAAGTGGAAACCCATCCAACTCGTGAGAGGGGGAGTGGAACTAACCCATTTATTCTTTGCCGATGATCTTGTCTTGTTTGCAGAGGCTAGTAAAGAACAAGCAGAGGTGATATCGCAGTGTCTTAACGTTTTTTGCCAAGGATCTGTTGAGATGGTAAGCCGCGAGAAATCAGGGATCTTCTTCTCCAAGCGTTTGAGCCGCGACCTATGTAAGGAGATTAGTGACCAACTGGCCATCCCGGTGACACAGGATCTTGGTCGATATTTGGGCGTCCCGGTCCTGCATGGTCGTGTGACTAAGGCTACCTACCAGTATGTCATCGATAAAATTGACCAGCGCCTTGCACGATGGAAAGCTGAAAACCTCTCTCTGGCGGGACGGGTGACGCTGGCGCTCTCGGTTCTTAACGCCATCCCTTCTTATGTGATGCAGACAGCAGTACTACCAGCGGGAATCTGTGACTACCTGGATCGCAAGATACGCGCATTCATCTGGCGTGCGCAGCAAGGGCGTCGACGGATCCATCTTGTTGACTGGGAAACGGTCTGTCTGCCGAAGGACCAAGGAGGACTTGGATTACGGACGGCTAGGGAGCTTAACAGCGCCTATTTCCTGAAGTTGGCTTGGGGCATTCTGAAGCAGCCAACGGAGCTATGGGTGAGGGTGCTAAAAGAAAAGTATCTAAAGGAAGGACCTACGGGTGTGGAGTTAAGGAGGACGACTCGTTGTTCTCAGCTATGGAGGGGTGTTCGTCGCGTTTGGGGCCTAATGCTAGAAGGGGTGAGCTGGAGTGTTAGGGATGGGCGCTCCACCCTGTTCTGGGATGATAAGTGGGTGGATGGAGGTACAGTGCTAGCAGAGCACGCCTGGACGAGCAAACCGAGCTTCCCAGCTGGCGCGACAGCCGCGGATATGACCACGATATCAGGTGAGTGGAACATCCATTTGATTGAACAGTTCTTACCTAGTGATCTCTGCTTGCAGGTTATAGGGATGGCGCCACCGATACAGGACTTGGGAGAGGACGAAATCGTGTGGGGCTTGGAGGAGAAAGGCAACTTCACGCTACGTTCGGCGTACCAACTTGCAGCCGACGTGGATGGGAGCGTGACACACCAAGGATGGCGCGATGTTTGGAGATGGCCGGGACCGAACCGGGTGCGGCACTTTCTTTGGCTCATGTCCCATGGCGCGCTGCTCACCAACGCGGAAAGGCAACGACGACATCTAACTCCCTCCAGCAGATGCGCTCGCTGCAAGGAGGCGGACGAGACTCTGGAGCACACGTTCCGGACGTGCAAGTACGCCCAACAAGTGTGGAGGCAGACCGTCCCGGACGCAGCTTCACCGTCGGATCGTAGAAGTCTCAAAGATTGGTTCTTTCATTTCCTCAAGCACCCCGCGAAGCAGGTTCGTTTTGGCTTTACCTGCTGGTTCTTATGGCGCTCGAGGAATGACTATGTCTTTTCAGCCATTGAGGAGCCCTCTAGTAAGTTATCGCAAAGGATCCTAGCCTGGGAGATCATCGCGCAAAAAAGTAAGGCAGCGGAACAAACCATTTCACTGGGGAGGTCGGGGCTGAGTCGAGACGTGGCTGTTGGGTGGAGACCAGCCCCGACAGGGTGGATCACAATGAACTCGGATGGTTCGCTTCTGCGACCGTCCGAGTCTACCGCTGCAGGTGGTGCGCTTAGAGATGGGCAGGGTCGCTTACTAGGGGCTTTCTCAATGAATCTGGGAAGATGTACCATTACTCGAGCGGAGATCTGGGGTGCTCTTCGTGGACTGCAGATGGCATGGGATTCTGGTCACAGAAGGGTCGAGCTACAGCTAGACTCTACCACAGCCATCAGTCTCCTATCGCCAGGCTCGCCAACCAACCACCAGCATGCTAACCTAGTCATCCAGTTTAGGGAGCTACTGGGAAGGGACTGGGAGGTGGTCATACGTCACATATATAGGGAGGCTAATTTTTTAGCCGACTGTCTTGCGCATAAGGGTCACCTGTTATACCCTGGAGCTTTCTCTGTTACCTGTATGGATCCGGATGTTGAACGTTGGCTCCTGTATGACTCGGTTGGCGGGTTTGTAGTCCGCGAGGTTAATTAATTGAGGTTGTGGTGCTTGCACCTTTTTCACAAAAAAAAAAAAGAGTTCTAAGCAACATATACTCAAAGATACCGAAAAAGACCTTCTCCATGATCATCGACAACACTTCTGGATGCTAGAAATCATGTTTTTGGTAGTGTCATTTTTACACCACTAAACATAGTTTTGATATGGTTATGATGATTTATCCGATTTGAGTTACTAAATTGTGTTTTTTTGTTGTTGTTGCATACCATTGAAATATGCTTTTGTTGCAATAATCATCGAACTATACCAATCATTGGTGACTTATACATGACATTACACGACACCCACTATACATTAGCCTTATTTGGCTTTGTGTTAAGTAGACTTGTTTAGCATGTAAACTAATAAGTAATAACAAATATGAAACTATACGATATCATTGAATGGCCCTTCCAATCAACCAAACCCTAAAAATTTATTCTTAAAAAATAAAGAAGTGGTGTTTGGATAATTTGAAAGCAAAGGCAAAAGCAGGAGTTGATTGTGGAGGAGAGGGAAATGGTGATCCGTCGAATGTGAGTGAGGCGGGCACCCACAAAACAAAAGCATATTCCCTTCTTTTTCCATTTGAGACGCGGCGAGGCGTTCGTCTCCTCCCTAATTATTTGCTACGCCACTCGCCCACTCCTCTCCTCTCATGTCTCATCCGGTATTCCAATGAAATGAAATCCTCCGAAAGGAGGAAAAGTAAAAGGCATCAACCTTTTGGCCTTCCCCTAATTGCACTCAACCTAATCCTTTTCTTTAATCTTTTCAGAAATTGTTGTTTTAACATGTTTGTGGTATGATATTTTAAACTGAAATTATGGTTCAATATGTTTTTTTGAAATTTGGTGCATGCCCCTCAGGTGGTGTTTTAGTGCACTATGACAATTGTAGCCTTGTAGGAGTCATAGAGTAGGTGTTGATGATGGCTACATTTATTTCGCATGCCCACACAGTGGTGTTTTAGTGCGATTTGATGATTGTATGAGTCGCACAGTATGTGTTGATGATGGCTACATTTATTTCGCATGCCCACCCGATGGTGTTTTAATGCGATATGATGATTGTATGAGTCGCACAGTATGTGTTGATGATGACTACATTTATTTCGCATGCCCACCCGATGGTGTTTTAGCGCGATATGATGATAGTATGAGTCGCTTACTAGGTTGTTGTAATGGCTTCATTTATCTCTCATCGAATGAAAAAGGCTCTTCGTGATTTTGTCAATTTTTTCCATTAAGGTGTTAGTGACCCTATATTAATGGAATTATTGGCGTTGCGAGTTGCTCTTTCAATTTGTCTCACACATGGTTTTCTCAATGTAAACTTCTATGGTAATTATCAAACCCCTCGTTCAAGGTATTCGGGAGAGGAATGTAGCTCATGGTTCGAGTGGTGCACTGCTTGAAGAAGTTTGAATGGCTATTCCAGCTATTTCTACTTTTATATGTATTTTTACTCTCCACAGGGGCAACATTACATGGTTGTCTGTCACGACTGTTGCTCTGCGGATCGGGAAATTGGAGGATTCGACAATATAAAAAAGGAAAGCACACACAAATGACACACGATTTACGTGGTTCCCTAACACAATGTGTGTTAGCTAGTCCACGAGCAGGAGAGAGCCAATTTCACTATACTTCGAGGAGATACGGCGAGACCCCCGTGACTTCCAGTCGTAGCCGCTGATAGTCCGATTCAAGTCACATCAAAATTGTCCATTTAGTGACTATCTTTCATCAACAATTTGACTATTTATCGACTGTCGTGTTTGATTATGTGATGCTATATGTTTATTTCTTTTACTCTACTACTATATAATCATTTCATAGAGCCAAAATGGTTTACCAACTTTAGTTTCCAATAGATAATTTATTTTTTTCCTTCGGACATTTTTGTTTTGTGGAGAATTGCTCGTTTCAATTTGAGTAAATACAATTTAATATCCAAACCTTTCATTTTAAACAATATAATAGCCAAACCTTTTCGAAAACAATCTAATATCCAAATCGTCAACTTTCCGTCCGTTTGACCGTTGGTTGACACTTCAAAAAAGCTTTGTTTAGGGGAAATTGTCACAATACAACTTTGTTTTCTTGTTTTGGCATTGCAGATAACTGAATATTTAGATATTCTATACCATCATGGTGGAGTCATGGACTTCTCGGGTTTGGAACCACGATATGTTGGTGGTTTTTCTGAGAAGATATCGATGGATATTGATGAAGCGTCGTACTTCGAACTTTTTTGAAGTGTCAACTAACGGTCAAACGAACGGAAAGTTGACGATTTGGATATTAGATTGTTTTCGAAAATGTTTGGCTATTATATTGTTTAAAATGAAAGATTTTGATATTAAATTGTATTTACCCTTTCAATTTTGTATTGGATGGCGTACGTGGAACCCACTTCCAATGGCAGAGGGAGTTAGGGGGCAGGCTGACGTGCCCCGCACCATATCCGATCTAATCTAAGAACAATATATAAGATAGAACATTGTTTTGTTCGTTCCATTGCACTCTCTTCTTTTTGAAACCAAAGTACATTCTCAGGCGATATTCCATTCCAATCACCAAATTATTTCACAAACCACTTTCTCCTGTTCTGCCCCAGTTGCTGGTTCATAATTTGATCAATCAAATGCAAGAGAATTCATCACATAATAATAATAATAATAATAATAATAATAATAATAATAATAATAATAATAATAATAATAATAATAATAATAATAATAATAATACAGCTCAAGGGTGATTTTGTTCCCTCTTCAGTGTTCCATGAATTTCTCTCGATAACAGCTGAAAACATATCCCTACATCATTGATGATAGGAGGATCCAAGCCTTGGTTGCTTACACTTTTCATTTGCTCCAATCCCCGTCACATCAACATCTCATGCTACAAAGCTATGCAATCAAGTCTATCGTTTTACCTGTTAGTAAATGATATATTATTCATACACCTGACTTTGCAAAAAAAAAAAAAAATGATATATTATTCATACACCTGACTTTGCCAAAAAAAAATGATATATTATTCATAATTGGATCTCTACAAATAATTCAAGTTATTGAATTGCATTATAAAGGTTGTAGACTCCTCTTGTTCGAAAGGTTTGTGAGTCCTAATTTATCGTGGGTTTCCCCCCTTATTTATCGTGATTCTTTGAAAATAGTTCTAACAATTTTCAAAATAGCATCTTCCACTGAGAAGTAAGAACTTGAACCGGGAAACAAGAAGGTAATATGCCCTTTATTGTTTCTATCATCTATCTATTTGGGCTCTCTCACCTAGGGCTGGAAAAATAGACCAGACTGTTAGAAAAACCGTGGTCTAAACTGTACCGCACAGTTTGGTCTGGACCGTAGACCGTTAAGTATGATCTGGTCTGGTCCATGATCTGTATTATTTTATGTATTGATGTCTTGGTCTGGTCTAGACCGCGATTTCTTGGACCAAACCGTGGACCCAACCGACTTGTCAATACGTGTTAACAGCCCATTCGACCACTCTCACAACTCCCACAACGACACCCAAGTCTCAACCTTAGTTTTGTGAATCTCGTCCCTCCTTAATTCACAACCACATTTAACCAGAGGAGTAGAGATAATTGTGCCTCCATATGACATTATGTTAATGTTTATGACGTTATGGTGCAAGTTGGGATGCTTTTACTTTGTATTTTTGTTATGTACTAAGATTTAGGGTATCAAAATTATTCATGCATGTCAGGATTAATATGTTAAGGCAAATAACAATTATTTTTCTTGTTTATTGGTTCAATTTTTTGTGTGGTTGACTAAACAAATTATATTCATTTTTCGTTGACTATGGTATATCTGGACCAGATCAGACCGAACCAGACCGCACATGCGTGGTCTGGATCGGACCGTATAGTCCATGATCTGGTTTGTGATCTATACTTCAGCCTCTCAGTCTAGACCATAAACCGTATATATGGTCTGGACCATAGACCGTATATATGGTCTGGACCAGATCGCACCGTTTCCCGACCCTTATTTGACCCAATTGAAACGTACGGAAGCAGACAAACAAACATCGAAGAGAGAGATAAAAGCCGCTCCACCGGCAGACTCGAATTTCGTACCCAAAACTCGCCGGCGTAAAATCCCGGCGTTCTTTTTCTCTTCCTCTTGTAGCATTTATTATACAATTCAAAAATACAAAACAGGAACCGAGAAAGAAAGAAAGGAAGAAGGCAGTTCACATTCCAGTAACCGCCGGCGTCCATCTTCCTTCCACTCTCGGCTTTTCTTCCTCAATTTCCTCTCTTCTCCACCGACAAAAACTCGGCTTCGGCTCTTTTTTTTATTATTTTTTTTAGTTAATCTCTCTCTCAGCAGTAATTTATTTTCTTCAGTTTCTCTACTCAGACAAAAAGATTCAGCAGCTTCTTCCGATCCCCGCCGCTGCTCTCGAAAGTCGTCGTCTCCGATTCCTCCCCCAAGAACGAAACCCCCGTCGACAGTCTACTCACCCGCCGCTCGCCGGAGGATCGACGATTCTCGCTCCCGGCTCCCGAACTCGGCCACATCCGACGAACCGACCCAACGGCGGAGAACCTGTCTTCCGATGACTCATCAGCCCCTGCCTGCCTGATTCCCGGCAACGCCTGAAGCGATCCTCCGGCGAGCACCGTCTCCACCGCATCCTGGCACAACCGCCAGTTCCCGCTCGACAGCAGCCCCACCGCCCCGTTCACCGGGTTCACCGTCCGGCCACACGCCTCGAACAGAAGCGACTGGAACAGAGCTGCAAATTTTCAAAATCGTCAAACCTAGGGTTGACCGAAATTGAAAAATGCGATTCGATCGATCGAAAAGAAGGAAAAAGGAAATGAAGCTAGAGAACCGCGGACCGGAGCGTTGGGATTCGGGTACGGCGGAGATGAAGGCGAGCAAATCGCTGCGGCCGAAGAATTTGGCGAGGAACAAGGTGGCGTGCCCCTGCGCTTGCGGCGTG